TTCTTTTTAAATGCTCTTGGGATAGTCTGGCTTCCCTGGCCCTCATGCTACGCTTTCTGTTTTTTTCCCCTCTATTTTTTCTCATGATTTTATGAGCTGATACTTCTCATAAACTCCCACTATCCTCCCCTTCAGGGTTTGGCATGGGCATTAATATTCCAAACTGCAGTGGTCCTTGGTTGTAAGGAGAGCATATTTTTGCTAGCTATGGGGACTTCTAGTTTTTTTTTTAATCTTCCTTATTAATGGCATTTGCTTTACATCATATAAACTGTTAGAGGAAATAGTGATAGCCTATATTGATATCACCTTTATCCTATTTTTTTAGTGAAGGTAACTTGTTTAAATAGATCAAGTTGTAACTGTTTTGAATTTATTCCATTATCTTCTCATTTTTGTTCATCTAATTTGGTGTTGATTTTGTTTTTTCCTCTAAAAATTTGTAATTTCACTGTATGCAAACAGTTCATTCATAGATGACTCTCAAATTGGTAACTAGTTATGTCAGATTTCTTAAGTTATACTCAATTTTATCTGTAATGGGGATAAGCTAGAAGCCTTCCCAACAAGACCAGGGGTGAAGCAAGGATGCCCATTATCACCACTACTATTCCATACTGTACTGGAAATGTTAGCTATATCATTAAGAGGAGAAAAAGAAATTGAAAGAATTAGAATACATAATGAGGAAACAAAATTGTTCCTCTTGGTAGATGGTATGATGATACACTTAGAGACTCCTAGAGAATCATCTGAAAAATTAATTGAAATAATTAACAACTTCAGCAAAATTGCAAGATATAAAATAAACCCACATAAATCACCAGCATTGCGATATACTACCGACAAAGCCCAGCAGGAAAAGATAGAACAATTCCATTTAAAATAACCATAGAAAATATAAAATACTTGGGAGTCTACTAGCCAAGACAAACCCAGGAACTAACGAATACAGTTACAAAACACTTTTCACACAAATAAAGTCAGATCTAAACAATTGTAGAAATATTAATTGCTCATGGGTAGGCCAAGCCAATATAATAAAAATGACAGTTCGGCCTACATTAATTTACTTATTCAGTGTCATACCCATCAAGTTACCAAAAAATTATTTTATCGAGCTTGAAAAATAACAAAATTCATCTGAAAGAACAAAAGGTTATGAATATCAAGGGAATAAATGAAAAAAAAATGTGAAGGAAGTTGCCTAGACATACCAGCTCTCAAACTGTTTTACAAAGCCGTATCATCAACACAATCTGGTACTGGCTAAGAAATAGAGTGGTGGATCAGTGGAATAGATTAAGTACATAATACACCAGAAATGACCATAGTAATCTAGTGTTTGATAAATGCAAAGATGTAAACTTTTGAGACAAGAACTCACTATTTGACAAAAATTGCTGGGAAAACCGGAAAGCAGTCTGGCAGAGACTAGGGATAGTCCACCATCTCATACCATGTACAAAGGTTAAGATGGGTACATGATTTAGACATAAAGGGTGATATCATAAGCAAATTAGGTGAGCATGGAATATTTAACTGTCAGATCTGTGGATAAGGGAAGAATTTATGATCAAATAAAAAATAGCATTATGGGATATAAACGAGATAATTTTGATTACATTAAGTTAAAAAGGGTTTGCACAAACAAAACCAATACAGCCAAGATTAGAAGGAAAGCAGAAAACTGGAAAAAAATTTTTTATAGCAAGTGTCTCTGATACAGGCATTGTTTCTCATATATATAGAGAACTGAATCAAATTTATAAGAATACGAGTCATTCTCCTTTTGATAAATGGACAAAGGACATAACAGACAGTTTTTAAAAGAAGAAATCAAAGCTATCTATAGTAATATGAAAAAATGCTCTAAACCATTATTGATTAGAGAGATGCAAATTAAAACAATTCTGATGTACCACCTTACACCTATCAGATTGGCTAATATGACAGAAAAGGAAAATGACAAATGTTGGAAGGGAATGGAAAAGTTGAGATGTTAATGCATTGTTGGTGGAGTTGTGAACTGATCCAACTATTCTGGAAAGCAATTTGAAGCTATGCCCAAAGGGCTATAAGACTGTGCATACTTTGACTCAGTAATACTAGTAGTAGGCCTGAATCCCAAAAGGTAAAAATAGGAGAAGTACTCATATGTACAAAAATATTTATAGCAGTTCTTTTTGTCGTGGCAAAGAATTGCAAATTGCGGGGATGTCCATCAATTGAGGAATGGACAAACAAGTTGTGATATTTGATTGTGATGGAATACTGTTGTGCTATAAGAAATGACAAGCAGGATGCCTTCAGAAAAACCTGGAAAGACTTACACAAACTGATGCAAAGTGAAATGAGCAGAACCAGGAGAACATTGTACACAGTAATAGCAATATTGTATGATGATTGATTTCACTATTCTCAGTAATACAGCTGACAATCTAAGATAATTCTGAAAGACTTATGATGAAAAATACCATCCATCTTCAGAGAAAGAACTGATAAAGTCTGAATACAGATTGAAGCATACTTTTTAAACTCACTTTTTCTTTTTTGTTTTCTCTGTGTTTTTTGGGAACATAGCTAATATGGAAATATATTTTGCATGACTGCACATGTATGACCTATATCAAATTGCTTGCCTTCTTTGGGGGGGGGGAGCGGGGTTGGGAGAGAGAGAATTTGGAACTCAAAATTAAAAAAAAAGAAAGTTAATTGTTATTATATGTAGTTAGAAAAAGTTAAATATAAATTTTTTTACTTAAAAGATAAGTCAGTTTTACTTTTTGTGTTTTGAAGGAAATATTCAGGGGTGGCTTCTTTGAGAGAGAGGTGCTTTATGGGGAAACATTTGTTATAAAAACAAAAGGCTACAATAAAACTTTTTAAAGAAAGACAACAAGCCAAATTGTTCATGCTATATACAGGGGTGAGGTTTCTGTCTACACCACAAGCTTCTGACCTCTTTGTTTTTTGTTCCAGATGTATAGTTTCCACAGTGTTTTTCAGTGCCTCTCCTCTGTTTGCCTTTGCACTGAAGTCATGAAAATTGAAGTATATATGGATTTTGAGAAAACCATATTGATTCCAATTCCGTTTTGTAATTGATTCTATTCTGTTTCACCTCCAACATGTTATAAAATTGCCTAAGCCATGTTTCTTTGTCTCTGAGAATTATATTGTCTCTACACGTTTTACTGCCCCTGTGCAATTAAGGGAGATCTATAATCTCACTTATGAGTCTTGCAGGGTGCAGGTGGGTGCCAGGAAGTCTGTTATTTCTGCAACACTGGCTGTCTTTCAAGAAAGTCTGGACTATCCATGCAGGTAGACACCACCATTGGGCTTTCCCTGGCAACAAGATGGAAGAGGGGCTGTTGCTAATCCTGCATTCTTGACTTCCATCCGGTCATATTGTTTGATGCATCCTGTTCTTTGCTCTCTTGTACTTCCCCAGACTGTTGAAGGCTAGTGAGCCCTACCTTGTGGTCTTTTAACTGACTGAGGAGTCAAGACTCCTTTTATTGGTAATTGCTAGCCTTGCCAATAAATTGAATGTGCTTGGAACTTTGTGCCTCATTACCTTAATTTCATTTGGAGAGCCATATCAAAATCTTCTTATAATTTCTCTTCATCCTGCTCTGCAACATTAGCTGCAGGTGTCTTCGTGGAAGTCCTTTTGCTTACGTGCTGGCCTGTGAGGTGACCACATGTTCAGTGAGAGGATATTTCCTGTTGGTGTTGGGAGTCCGACAAATTGAATTCTGTGAATTGTGTTATTTGGGAGAACCATCCTTTCATTTAAGTTCAGTCCCCTCTGAGTTTCAGGTTGCATTTAGTGATAATGTTGGTATTGCTATGACTGAGTTCCATTAGTAGTATTCTGCCCAGCCCAGTTGTTGGACTGGGATCTCATATGCAGACAAGTAGATGAATATGTAGAGACAGTCTAAGAATTGCATGGTTTGCTGGGTTCACAGGGAGGCAGAGGCTAGTGGATTGCTTGAGCTCAGGAACTTTGGAGCTGTAGTGGACTAAAGCCAACAGAAGGTCTGCACTGGGTCCAACACCAATATGGTAAGAAAGCCACCAGGCCACCTTAGGAGGAGTGAACTGGCCAGTGCCCATGAAGAGCCCCCAAGCTGCTAGACTGGGGCAAGCCAGAGAGATCCAGGATATTTAAAAAATTTTTTATTATTTGTTTTTAACATTCATTTAAAAAGGTTGAGTTCCAAATTCTTTCCCTTCAGTAAGCAAGAAAAATAAAGTGAGAAAACTATACTTCGATTTGCACTCAGAGTTCCCCAGTTCTCTCTCTGGAGGTGGATAACATTTTTCATCATGAATCCTTTGGAATTGTGTGGGATCACCGCATTGGTCAGTGGCTAAGTCTTTCCCAGTGATCATCATTACACCATTGCTGTTACTGTGTACGGTGTTCTTCTGCTCTGCTCACTTCACTCTGCATCCATTCCTACAAGAGAGCCAGTCTAGAACCAAACCAGACCGAGCTACGTGACTCTCCTTGTTGACTGGTAACCACTTCTGCCAGCCTGCCAAGCCCATGAAGAAACAGACGCAGGAGCATTCTTTCTTTTGCCTTCCTTCCTAGATCGCCGTGGTCAGAGAATTCAGAGAATTCGTCACCCGGAGGCCGGCCTCTGGCGGGTGAACCTCTCTCCCTAGCTGGGCTTCTTCTTGGGCAGTGGCTCTCGATGGCAGGGAAGGTTGTCAGCTTGGTGGAAGCTGCCGAAGCTGGTGTGCCGGTGGCATAGCCCCAGAGTCTAGGCTCACTCACTCGCGCGGCATGGGGCAGCATTCACTGCATACGTGCACCGTAGAGTTTTTGTGGCGGCGGCGTTAGGAGTCCTCCACCGCGCACTGACCATAGCACTACAGCCCTCGGAGGGTCTGTTTGTTTTCCATTCAGTCTTTGTTTTACCAGCTTTTAACGTGAACTCTGAATCTCATGAATGCTCAAAGAGGTTTCTGATTTCTAGGGTTTCTGGATACTTTGAAACTTCTGCTGAAAGACCCGGACAGCACCGTGCGGCAAAAAACGGTCGAAGTTTTTGACACCATGGCTAATCACAGTGTGGGCAGGTGGGTGTGCTCTTCAGGCCTCTTTTATTAATGATTGTTGGTTCCCGAATGTCAGACGCATTTTGTATTTCTAAAGAGAAGTCAAAGAATGGGGGTCAGAATGCTGGATTTGGAGTCAGAAGGGCTGGGCTCGGGTCTTGGCTCTTTTCTGTTTCTTCCTGCTGTCATGGCAGGTCCTTTAAGCTCTCTTGCTTCAGATTCCCCATTGTAAGCTGAAGGATTGGGATCAGCTCATTGGGAAGGCCCCTTCCAGCCCTGACTCCGTGACACTCGCTGTATTGTTTTCTGTCTCGTAGAGGTGTCTGTCCTCGGGCACACGGCACAGTGGGATGGAAGGAACATTCTGCCTTTGGAGCTGGTACCGCTGGGTTCCCATCTTAGTGTGGACCCTCCTTACTGCGGAGGGGACTCAGGGCAAATAACTGGCTTCTCCGAGCCACAGTTTCTTCTTTGAAAATTCAAAGGGCCCATCTTGCTTGTCCAATCACCTCTCTCACAGGGTCCTGGGAATGTGAATGTTGGCTTTAAGCATGGTACACGGAATGTTACTGTTTTTTATTATTGTGAAATTCAATAAATGTTTATTAAATTATATTGAACATAGTTATTCTAAGAGAGGAGGTTGAAATGTCTTAAAGATGAGAAATTGTAGGATCCATACACTCAGAAATATAGATTAGAGAGATCACGTCCCAGATTTCTTCCCAACCTTACATTCGGTAAAATGGCCGTCTAGGTCAGTGGTGCTCAGCTCAGATAGAAATGGGGCCCACTGATCTTTACAGAAGGATTCCTGGGGGCTGCATTTTGAAAATGTCACCTCACTGGTGTTGTATTGGATTTTTATTTCCTTTGTCAAGTTATTTCCTAATTGCATTTTGAGCTGCTTCGGGTTGCAGTTGGGAGTGTTGACACCTCTGATCTTGGCCCAGCCATCATTTCACAGATGAGTAATTGAGCTAGAGAGTAGACAGGTGAAGTCACTTGCCCAAGGTCAACAGCAATGTAGGGGTGGAACCTGTTTGGCCTGCATTCCTTCTCTATGCTTCTTTCCTTTTTCTTCTCTTCATTTTCCTTGTCTTGTTTTGTTCACGCATTGCTTAATGTGTGGTATTGTTGTTGTTTTTTAAATGTACATTCCTCATCCTCCAGTATTAGCTGGTATCTTCCTTGAGTGCAGGAACCCATTTTTGTCACCCCTAAGTCTGCCTCCGGAGGACAGAGTTAGGCTTGAAGGACACTTTAAGGCCTGGTTTAATACACTGTCTGCTTCAAGGTATTGAGTAAATGGTTTTTACTTGATGTGAACTGAACTGAATTCCTGAATTGAAAAGATGAAGGCTCCCAAGGCTCATCTCATGATTAAAGTCCGGAAGAGCATGGTGAGAAGAGGGACAGAACAAAACCTGTTTACTTATTTATTGTGTTGGCAATCATTGCCTGTAAAGCCTATATGAAAGGGCAAGTGCCTTGTACAGACCTCTGAGCAGTCTCCTAAGTAACTTAGAGAATTCTCACATTTGTCTTGGTGATGAGGGACAGTTGTGTAAGTGTGTGTGTATGTGTGTGTGTATATGTGTATGTGTATATATATGTGTGTGTGTGTATGTGTATGTGTGTGTATCTGTATGTGTATATGTGTGTGTGTGTGTGTGTGTGTGTGTATAAGACACTCCAAAGACCACCTTAGAGTTGGTCACCATTTCCCCTATTCTTCTCCTACCTATTCTCAAGTGGAGGTGGGCTCTCAGATTATTCTGACTGATAGAAAGCTGTGAACGAAGCCTCGTCATGGATGCTGGTCCAGCTCCATCCCCTGCAGGTCCCCAAGGCCTGTCACAGTAGCAGTGTGATAGAGGGGAGAGAACGCTGGACCAGAAGCCAGGTGAAACCTAGTTCTGAGTTGTCTTTCTGATGCTTACCCTCTGTGGGATCACGGTGAAGTCACTTAATTTCTCTGAGACTCAGTTTTCTCCACTGGAAATGAGAGATAATAATCTCCATAATACCTACATCACAAAGCCTTGTAAAGCTCAAGTAATATCACAGAATTTGAGTGTTGAAAGGGGCCTCTGATACCATCCAGCCCAACTGGTACATGAAAGGGATCCCCACTGTGCTACGGCCAACAAGTGGTGGTCTGGCCTTTGCTTGGAGGCCTCCAGCAAGGCAGCCTGTCCTGGCTGGGCCTGACTCAGGCTAGTGGCCCAGTAGTTTTGGCTCCCTAGCAGAATAGACTGAGATGGGGCAGCGAGATGGCACAGTGGATAAAGCTCTGGCCTTGGAGTCAGGAGGATCTGAGTTCAAATCCGGCCTCAGACGCAAAACACTCACTAGCTGTGTGACCCTGAGCAAGTCATTTAACCCCAATTGCCTCACCGAAAACAAACTGAATAGACTGAGACACTCAGCGTGAACAACAGTTACGAAAAGAGATGAGCTTAGCTATAGCAGAGCAAGGATGTTCAACAGAGATGGGCACTGAAGAAAGCTGGAGTTGATTCATCTGAGCAAAGCTCTCGCCTGCATTACCCATCCTGCTTCTCCAGTGGGACCTGCTCTGCCCTCTCCTCCCTCCATCTCCAGGTCCTCGTGGCAATAAATGCCAGAGTATGGTCCAAGCTCTTAGTTCCCCGAGTCAACCAAGTTTCAAGGGATGCCTCGATACCCTTTTTTAAAAGAGATTTCAGTTTTATTTTGTTTTCAGTTCTGAATTCTCTCCTTCCCCTCTCCCCTCCCCCACCCATTGAGAAGGCAAGAAAGACAAAACTCTACAAATATGTATAGTCATGTAAAATAGACTTCTACATTAGCTATGTCCAAAAAAAGAAAAAAAAATAAAGAAAGAAAGAAAAGGAAGGAAAAGAGACTATGTTTTGATCTTCACTCTGAGTCCATCAGCTGGAGGTGGATAGCATGTTTCATCATGAATCCTCTGGATTTGTAGTGACCACTGTGTTGATCAGAGTTATTAAGTCTTTCAGAGTTGATTATCTTTACTAGTACTACTGTTACTGTCTACATTGTCCTCCTGATTCTGCTCATTTTACTTTGTATCACTTCACACAAATTTTCTCAGGTTTTTCTGAAACGTACCCCTTCATTATTTCTTACAGCACAATAGTATCCATCACATTCACATACCCCAGCTTGTTCAGCTGCTCCTCAATTGATGGGCATCCCCTGGGTTTTCAATTGTTTGTCACCACGGAAGGAGCTGCGGTGAATATTTGTGTCCATATGGGCGGCAGAGTGGAGAATGCAATGGACTGGGGAGACTGGAGGCTAGGGGATCCACTGGAAGGCCAGGAGAGGGGTGACGAGGGGTTGTCCTTGGGAGGTGGCCATGGGAGTAGAGACAAGGGGACATTAGGAGAGTTGTGGAGGGAGAAAAGAGATTTGACAAAAGAGTGGAAATATGGGATGAGGGAGATTAAGGAGTTAGCTAACCTGTGTGAGTACAAGGGTAGTGGTCACGAATTAGAATTTGGCCACAAATTAGAGACAGTCTGTCTTTTGGATACGTTGATTTGGATATGCTTGTGGAACATGCAAGTAGAAACCTCCAGTGGGCCCTCACTGCTGCTCAGCAATCCTACTCTTCCTCCCTATCCCCCTCTCCACCAAGGCTCTTCCAGACCTTTTCATCCCCCCTCATACCTCTATGGCTTCCTCTTCTTCCACTCCCTCAACTGAGAATCTGAGCAGCTCATGGCTTACAGACGAAATTGAAGCCACTTGTCATGAGCTCCCTCTTCTCCCGTCTTCCTCATCTCCTATCATTTGGATACCTTCTGCCGCCTTCTCCTCTTTCACCCCTGTCTCATGTGATGAAGGGGCCTTATCCCTACCAAGGTTAACCCCTCTGCCTGTTCACACAGTCCCACTCCATCTGTCTCCTCTAACAGATTGCCCCCTCTCTCTGTCATCCTCACTCCCATTCTTTTCATTCTCTCCCAGCCTCCTGGCTCATTTCCAACTGCCTGCAAATATGCCCATTTCTCCACCATCTTCAAAAAACCCTTTTGTTCCCAGTAACTATGGTCCTATATCTCTTCTGCCCTCAAAAAGGCTGTTTACACCAGGGGCCTCCACTTCTTACTCTCTCTTTTTTTTTTTTTTTTGGTGAGGCAATTGGGGTTAAGTGACTTGCCCAGAGTCGCACAGCTAGTGAGTGTTATGTGTCTGAGGCCAGATTTGAACTCTGGTCCTCAGGATTCCAGGGCTGGTGCTTGATTTACTGCACCACCTAGCTGCCCCCTTCTCACGCTCTTCTTAACCCCTTATGATCTGGCTTCTGACCTCATCATCCCACTGAAACTGCTCTCTCCAAAATTACCAGTGATTGCCATGTCCAGTGGCCTTTTCTCAGTCCTCCTCCTCCTCGGACTCTCTACAGCCTTGGCCACCATCCATCCCTCTCTTCTCCTTGAGTCTCTACAGGTATTCAGGACGCCATCTCCCCAGGTTCTCCTCCTCCCTCACTGACCTCTCCTCTGTCTCCTCCTCCAGACCACACACTCTACCCTGAGGTGGCCCTCAGGGCTCTGTCCTGGGGCCTCTTCTCTCTTCTCTCTGTACTGCTTCACTGGGGGATCTCATCAGCTCCCAGGGACTTAATGACCAAATCTATGCTGATGGTTCTCAGATTTACCTATCCTGCCCCAACCTCTCTGCTGACCCCCAATCTGGAATCTGTAATTGCCTTTCAGACATCTCAAACTGGATTCCCATAGACATCTTAAATTCATTATGTCCAAAATAGAACTTACTATCTTCATCCCAAACCTCTCCTACCTCACTGTCTAGGGCACCATCCTCCTAGTCCCCCAGGCTCCCAATCTAGGTGTCATCCTGGACTGCCCCCCTCTCCCATATACAAGCTGTTCCCAAGTCCTGTTGAGATCTCACTTTTGCCAACGTCTCTCAAACATACCCCTCTCTCTCCTCTGACACTGTCCTCATGTTATGTTTGAAAAGGTTCAAGAGTCGTTGTTCCT